GACATGGGGGAGGTCCCAATTCGACTGGCTCCTGGAGAGCGGCAAGCGGGTGACGGCACGTCCCTCCCAGAGACGCCCAACCCCAAAATGGTTTGCACCTTTGCTGTTTGGCTTTGCCCTCCCTCAGGTGTGCCCCCAGGCAGGTGGCAAGCACTCCTTTCAGGGGAGATGGCAGCTGGGCAAGAAGTCTCCTGGCAGGATGCGGCCTGTTGAACATGCTGCATTTTGGTTTCACTGAGAACCATTTTACATTAGCGTTGGGAGGCTGATGAGCAAGGGAAGGTGACATGGGTGCATACTGCATGAAGATGCAGACACGCTGTCCTGGCCTCAGCGCTCCTGTCTACCCGTGTCCCTTCAGCATGCTGGCAGAACTGCTCCCTTCACCGATACACTGGCAGGCAGCTTCGTTTCAGAGCCTCAGCACAGCCTCGCTAGGGAGGGAGTCTCTGGGATTCAGGCCAGATGGTAGTAATCTCCATGTGGAGTAAGGTGCTCCTGGAGAGGTGTGTCTTAAAACAAGATCGCTAGGTACAAGCCCCGTTGGGGCTGGGTGGCCTGTGGGGCTTCTCTTTGATGGCATCGGTGGGCACTCCTAGTAGTTTCCTCCCCTTTGCTTCCCTTCAGATGTCGGCTGTCTACGCAGAATTAGAAAACCGCCTGATCGGCAGCTTTGCAGGAAAGATGGCCAATGCAGCTCCACGCAGAACATCGTCCCCCGTCTCAGACCAAGCGAATACTGCAGGTAAAGTCTGTCTGGCCTCTGGCTCCAGGGCAGAGGAGTTTGGGTTCCCTGGCTGAATTGATGGTGACCTGCAGCCTGCAGGCTTGGTGCTAGTCATGCAGCTTGAGTGTTAGGACAGAGGGGCCATGAGTGAGACCCCAGTAGCCCCTTAACTCCCCACTTCAGTGGGGAGGAGCAGTTGGTGGGTGGGTCCCATGATCCAGCGTGAACTGAGAAGCTTCGACGTGCTCTCTGGTGCTGCTGGCTGCACCTGTATCTCAAGGCTGCTCTGCTGCGGGGGACATGCCGGCCCCTGCACCCGCTTGGTGCAATGGCCATGGTTGGCAAGGCCTGGCCACCAGTTCTTGATCCTGGAGGTGTGTTTGCTCCCTGCAGGTGCTCGGAAGTCGGGCATGACCATCTCCTGGCAGAACGACCCTCTGCCCTCGCAGCAGTGCTACTACCACCCACACGGCAGCCTCCCTTCCCCGAGCAGCACCGAGTCCAACCCCTATGTCAGCCTGGACAGCAGCCCTGCCCCTTCGCCCAAGCACACGGACTACACGCTCAGCCCCCTGTCTCGCCGCAAGAAGCTCTTCACCTTCTCACGGCCCCCGCGCAGCCGGGACACAGACCGCTTCCTGGATGCTCTGAGCGAGCAGCTGGGACACAGGGTCACCATCGTGGATGATTTCCTCACGCCGGAGAATGACTACGAGGAGGTGAGCTCCATGGCCTGGTGCTTGGGGGTGCCCCATGCGCTGGGTCCTCGCTGGGGCGGTGGCACAGCATGGTCAGGCAGGAGGGAGCAGTGCAGGCGTTACAGCCTGGGAGGCTCCTGTGGTCCCTGTGGTGGGAGGATGGTGAAGGAGTGCAGTGCTCCAGGCAGAGAAGTGTAGACCAAGGCTGTCCCAGAGTGCAGCCCTGGATGCAGGCGGCTTGTCCAGGGGCCCTCGCTGCAGAGGGACTCAGGCTAGCCCAGCTGTGCCCTGTTGGTGCTGCTTCCCTCAGGGTGAGCCCTGTGCAGGCACTCTGCGCTGCACGGCACTGCTGTGGGCTAGGCTCAGGGAGCTGTGGGCAAAGGTCTGTCCTCCCTGGCACACAGCAGGAGCCAGGGGAAGGTGCTGGAGGGCTAGTGGCAGCCCCAGCACACTCCAGCCTTCAAGGCTCTCCCTGGGCTGAAGGGCGGAGTGCGGGAAGGGGAGCTTGGCTGTTTCCATGCCGGGTGGCTGGGAGTGGAAGCCTTCCTCATGCTCTGGTTCCACCCTCTTTCCCAAATCAGATGAGTTTCCATGACGACCAGGGCAGTTACATCACCAACGACATGAGCAGCACTAGCGAGTACATCAGCAGCAGCGACGAGGGGAGCTCCCTCACCTACTCCACCCTGTCTGATCACATCCCCCCGCCCCCACTCAGCC